AAAGTAAGCATGTTGATATATTCAATGTTCAAATATAAGTGCATACTGAATCTTAGATTCATACTTCCTTCAAGCTTATGTAATTTATGATATGTATCACATTAGAACTAATTTTGCATAATAAAGATTTATCAATAAATCTCAAAAGAGAGTAATCAAATAATTATGCATTTGAAATTCAAGCAAAAATAAGCAATCAAATTCTCAATCAGGAAAAACAGCTACCTTGAGAAACCAAGCTAATCAATGCAATTCATGTGAATATAGGCAATCAATCAAAATCATCAATTTAAACAAGTAAATAACTTTTGGTATAGAAATCACACATTTTCACTTGTGTATCTAAAAAGCATCCAATTTCCAAGAGTTTATTTCTCCTTACTTTTGCTCACCTATAAGAAAACTTTCTCAATTGATTTTCGGTATCCAAATTTTTTGGATCCTTGGAGGTTAGTAACAATATGCATGGTTTCTTTTTGGAACTTACTCTTAGAGCAAATGTATTCAAGTTTGACAAGTATAACTAAAATGAGCATAAAATAAATAGTAAGGAGAAACGTAAGACTTGTAGAACTCTTAATCTTCAATCCCTCATTGTTCCTTTAACAACATTCTTAAATTTCTTGTTTTCTTTTTCTATTCTATCAAAATTTCTTTGAAGAGTTTCATAATCTATTCTCAACCTATTGTTTTCATCTATCAAAATTTCCTTATCTGTTTCGAGCTTTGAAATCTTTTCTTTTTGAGTTAGACATAAATTTTAAAATTCAAAAGCCAAATTCTCAAAGACACTTTCCAATGCACTATTTGTAAAATTAAGAGGTTCACAAGATGAAGAGCCTACCTCCTAGCTTGGTGTCAAAGTTTGAAATTGTCTAAATTCTTCATCTTCATTTATCGAACTTTCATCCAAAAGATCATTCTCTTTCAATTTTCTTTCATGTCTTCATATATTTCTTCTAGCTTTTCCCATATCTTGTTGGCTTCATAAATTTTTGATGATAATAAAATATTCTCACTCATTAATGTTTAACTGTACTACTTAAGTGTGCAGGATGAAATTGTATGTCAATAACAAATTATTCACTGGAAAGCATATATCAAAACTCATTAGAATAAGGAGTTACAAATGAGCCACAAAACAGAAGCTTCTTAGTTAAATAATTAAGGGAGTTAGCCAGCTAAAATTCAAAAGTGAGGTTGGCCAATTCAGAGACAGTAAGCTCTTAACCGATTAAAATGTTACTTAACTGATTAAGAAAGGAAAGCAAATTGTAAAACAGAGAAGATTTAGTCAACTAATCAACATGGTTAGTCAACTAAGAGCTCACTATCAGAGACTTAAAATACAATATAGAGAGCACTTAATTGACTAAAAAGCATGGCTAGTCAACTAAGAGATCATTGTCAAAGAATTCAATTACAAGATAGAGAAGACTTAATCAACTAAGAAGTATGGTTAGTCAATAAAAGCACTCTATCTAAAAATTTGAATTTGAATGATTGATGATAGACTAATAGCTAGAATTGACTCTAAATTATTTCCAACGGTCTGAAGCTGTCAACATCCATCATACGCCCCCAACGGCTAAAAAGAAGATTAGATGTTTCCAAGATCTAAAAGAGCTCAAAAATGGCAAAACCTCTCTCCATCTTTCTTACACTTCACTCCAATCCTTGTAATAGAGTTTAGCACTTCATCTTGTACCATTCAAATCAAGTTAGTGATCATATGTACGTTTTGGTTACTTAGAGTGTGCAAGTCACTCTAAGGGGATTAATCTAGCTTGGGTTAGCTTGATTAGTGTTATAGGTTCTAACTCAACTTAAAAAAAGTAAGATTTAGGTTTTGGTTGATCTCGAGAAAAACCATTGTTAAAGGTTGTGGCTGAGCTTGTGAAAAGCTATTGTAAAAGCTAGGTGGAAGCTTAGGAATTCCACTATTTATAGTGATTTGGTTTAAAAATTCTTAATTGGAAAATCAAAGTAGTTGTGTAGGTCAAAGAGATTGAACCATTATAAATCTTTGTGTATTATCTACCCTATTTTATTTTTCATTTCATTTTTCTTTAGATCATTCATTTATCTAGCATTTAACTTCTCATCATCGACCTTTAACTAACCCCTAATTAGAAGTTAAGTTTAGTGACATTCAAAAAGTGTTTTCAACCCTCCTCTAGCACACATCTTTAGGACCAACAAGTGGTATTAGAGCCTAACCCTCATTCTCAAGGCTTAACATCCTAAGGAAGATCCAATGGCTCTTTAAAAATCTATTGTTGGTGAGGGACAGTCCACAAATATACCACCTCTATTTGATGGATCAACTATCTTTATTGGAGCACTATAATGCCTATTTACATAAGGGTAATATATCATGAAATGTGGGATACCATCATTGATGGACCTTTTATCCCCTCACCCATAAATGTTATGACCAATGAAATGATTCCTATGCTAAAGGCTGAATGGACTGAAGTTGAAATAAAAAAGGTTCAAACAAACTTTAAGGCAATAAATATTCTACATTGTGCCTTGACTCCCACTATGTTTAACAAAGTGTCAAGCTGTACTACTGCTAAACAAGTTTGGGACAAACTT